AAAAAATAAAGTAATTTAACTAAAAAACATGGATACTATTTCATTCACAAAAATCGCCTGTATTTTGGCATTTTATTCAAATATGCAAAATAAAGTTCGGAGAACCATAAAAATGTGAGACTTGAAATATAATCCAGACCGTCATAGCATTTCCGTAATAACATTTCATTTTGACTATATATTAATATAATATGCATGTTTTAACAAATCATTTAAGTTTAATAACTTTTTAAATGTTTTTAAAAAAAACAATGAATAAAAAAAATTTATAAAATACTTTTTAAATTTCTGATTGATTGCCTATACCATGAAAAAGCTACTGCAATCTCTATTTATAATTTTATTCAACGGTAATCATCTTAAGGAACAGAAAATAGAATTTCAATAAAATTCTCTTCATTATTTGCATAGGATTTTTGAATAAAATGGCAAGTGTAATTACATATCCTGAGGTAAATAATTTCCAAACAAAGTTTGATGAGACATTTTGGTGTAAAAAACATCAAAAGGAATTTAAACTTGCAACTGCCACAGCCACAGCCACCGCCAACGCAACCGCAAATAATAAATTTAATTAAAAATACAGATACAGATACAACATTACGCTATGTTGAAAATTTAATTGCAAATAATTTATGAGGCTAAATTGCTTGTTTCTTTTGAATGTATTGTAAGTAGGTAAAATATTTTCCATAGGGTCAGATAAAATTATAAAAACTACATATAGAATAGTTTATTGTTCAAAGCTTAACTTAGTCTCATATATTTAAAGAAATATATAAAATTCGTTTCTATAACAGACATTAACTCTCCTCGTCTCTTTTCAACCTTATTTTATTTTAAAGACTTTTATGTATTTCTTATAAATATAAAGCAAATTTTTATCACATGTGTAAATTACATGGTCGATATATGATAAGATTATAACTTTGATGATATATTTCTGCCATTCTATGTGGAGTATGTATGTAGAGTTTATGTTATTAATTCAGATCTGATTTTCTTATAGAAATAGGTAATAACGTCGTTTAATCTATACTATGCATATTATAACTACCGTTCAATTGTTCTCATCTAAATCTCGGCTGTTGTACTGAGACGCCGAGAATCTTGATGATAATTGTGTTTTTGTTCGGTCCTCTGCGAGTTTGCCCGATGCATCCCCATGGTGCAGTCTGTTATTGATTGTTATTTTTGTCGACTATTAATCGATTGAAAGAAAAATATATATGGCCTGTTTTTATGATCTTATTCGTTCACAAGTTTCTAGAACTAATCTAGAATTCGGTCTATAAAGAGTTTCTGTATAGTGAATTGAATTTATTCTAGAGATTGCGCCAATTATACCATATTAGACACTCTTTATCACTCATACGACATTGCTTTTAGATTTCATATCAAATATATTAAATTTTTAAATCCCGTACCTAAAAAATTGGTGTATCCAGATATAGTTCAACAAGCTCAATGAACCTAGCCTAAATAATAGGAGATTGATGGCTTAATTAAAAAGAAATTTTAACTAAAAGAATTGAAACTAATGAATTTTTATTTAGAAGGACTGATCACAGAATATACCTTCTATATTACAAAAAAGTCATTGTGATGTCTTAAAACGAAAAGTAAAAAAATCGGCTATTATTGCTTAATGGATATCCCTAGTGTAATTCCACATGTTTTGATATGGAGTTTATGACGTTTCTCCATTATCATCCATACCTCCTACCATTAGCCTTTTCACACGGCCAACTGAGTTTAGGTTATTAAAAATATTCTAGTGATCCCATAAGGCATATTGGCCTATTATAATGGCACACAAAATAGGGTTTGAAATTATAACAAACCTTTAATAAAGCACAATATGTTTTTCAGAGGTAGAGGTTTTCTGATTGACACACAATTGATTATTACTAGTTAATATTATATTTTAATGTATTGTTTTATAAATTCTCCCAGGGTTTGATGGAAAAAGTTATGGCATTACCGCTTAATTTACTTAAATGACACACACGCATAAATTTTATTTTAACTGTAAATCAAACAATAACAGGAAAGCAACAGGTTATACTGCAGAAATGTAAAAATCCAAAGCATAAACACAAAAGCTCCAAAACACAATTTAACAGCATTTATTGAGATGAATGAATGTGCTTTATATGCGCTATATATGCGCTTTAAAAGGCGTAAAACAAATAGAAGTGGCAATACTAACAGTAAGTGCAATTAACAGTGATGTAATGCGTGTAATTGCTACTGCCTAATTGACGATTGACTAATAAAATAAAAACGATAATTAAAAAATTTGCAAATGTCTGTCTCTGTTGGAGCACATATCGACCTACGTATGTACGTACTGTATATACTATGTATACTGTAAATGCATGTGTGTGATATTGTTGTGTGTGTGTTGAAGTGTGTTCAAGTAATTGCAGTATGCACTCATTCCTGGTCGCATCTCATCGCTACAATGATAGCAAATTTGTAAATAAATCAGAATCTTAAAGGTTAAAAGTAAATGTAACTGCAATAAGAGGAGTGTCAACATCTTAATAACTTACCCCCATACCCACGTACGTACGTACGTACGTACGCAATGCTTCGGCGCATTCATTTTGTAAGAATTTTAAAAGTTAATATCTATTGCCGATGTGCGGTAGATGTGCCAACGCGCTCCTTGGCTTCTCTAATATCGTATGTATGTCCAATATTCATTTTCATTTTTTATTTCAACGCAAATGGCGAATAGCAACGAACGATGCGAATGAATGAATGTTGAAATACACAAATGAATAATAAAAAAAAGTGATGCTAATGAATGAAAAAATGAATATCAGTTTGAGAAATGTGTATGTGTTGTGTGTGATTGGGCATATGTACGAATAATTGTATTTGAAAAGCCATTCAACAGGTTTTGGTAGTCAGATATTTGTTTGTTTGATTTCAGACTTTATTTATTTAATTTGTGCTTATACTCAGAACATAATTTATTTTAAGTAAGCAATTAAAAAGGGGAAAGTATAAAGCGTACGCAAAAAAGAGACAAGCTTAAAAGCAAAATAGCTGCGAACTGTTAACTGGGAACATTGATGTGTTGCTTCATAGCGATTTATATTTATATATGCTTTTTACTTCACTTCGCTCGCTCATTCGAGTTGTTTGTTGTTAGTTGTTAGTTGCTTAACTTTTGTTTGTAAGCTTACGAGAATGAATAAAGTTTTGTGTAAAAAAGAATTGGAATAACTTGTTGTTTGTATGTGTGTTTGTGTGAGTGTGTGTGTATGTGTGTGCGCCAAAGATTGCTGTTATTCGTTTTCATTGGCTGTGTTTTGTATATGCAAAGCTTTTGGTTTCGATTGGATTTCAATTTTCATCGAATCAGCATCCGCAAATGGAGCAAAATTTTTCTGTGTGAACGCCTACAAAATCTTTTGATTTATATATGTTAAAAGACTAAATTCATTTACAGTAAATTGAGTTAACAAAAAATGTATTATAATTCTTTAATACTAATTAAAATTTTAATTAATTCCAATTTAAATATTATTAATTATAAATACAAAAATAGTAATAAAATGCAAATATACAACGGCGTATCTGAAATTTTGCCTAGGCGATATAATGTTGACATAAATAAAGTTTATAATAAAAAAAAAAGTTAAAGTGTAAATTCTTTTTTTTTTTTGTTTTTTAAAAAACATCTTTTTTTATAAATGTATAGTATAATTTGTTCATTTTTACTCTTAAAAATTAAAAAGGAAGTGTACTTTTTTTAGTGTTTTTTATTTTAGAGACGTTACGAAAAGTAATGAACTACAAGAAAAAAATACTTTTTTATATTATTTTACTTAATTGAATTTTTGACTGACCATACAGCTGTTGGTATTGCCAAATACCCATCATCAGTGGTCTTTGAATTATTTCTTTTACTTATTTTTTATTTTAGTTTTTTAATATAATTATTATAAAATAATAATATTATAATTACTATAATATAATAATATTATAATTATAATATTATAATCGTCTGCCAATAATGTTATTTATATATTTTTATAATTAATAGGAAATATAAAATAATCTAAAAAAAATATTTTGATCTTTATAGAGAGAGTTATTCATTCTACATTCTCTTAAGGCCATGTTATGACCAAATTTGAAGCAATCTCTCACTCAATTTTATAATTTGCCTTAAAAGAACAACAATTTTGTGCATGACGAGCCTATGAAACTCTACATAACATGGGCCTAAGGGATAATAATTCATGTAAATATGTAAGGGATTTATTTATATTGAATATTATTTTAAGAAACATATATGTATTTGTGTGTATATGTATGTGCATGTATTAATACAACGACAGTGATTTACGAGCAATTTTTTATAGCAAATATATATATGGTGGTACAAACGATCTCTTAGGATTGCAGTATTTTGTTCTACTGGGCTCCTAAACTCCTATTAAAATCTATATATTTTATATAAATGTGTGTTTCACAGAAATCCATCCGAGCTATGGTTCTATCGGATGAGCCATTCGATAGAGTCACAGCTTATTCGATAGAGTCACAGCTTATTCGATAGAGTCACAGCTTATTCGATAGAGTCACAGCACATCCAATAGAGCCACAGCATACCCATAGACATACAGCTAATATTTAAATATATTATAAATAAAATATTCAATAAATATATAGCAGATAATAAACATAGAAATATACATATATGCAGATATATTGTATGTATGTGTTATCTTTATATAAATAATATACAATAACTTTATATAAATAATATGCAATAATAACTTAAGTATATGATGTATTTATTTTGCAATATTTTGCTCTATTATGAGTTGTAATACTTACTATTATATATTTATTTATATATATGTATATAATTATATAAAAATAATTATTATTATATACTTAAATAATTATTATATATTCTTTGAATTTATAATTGTTTATATTTTTTTATTATTATTTAAATATTGTTATTATAGGTTACAACAATAATAATGGGCATGAACGTAATAACACCCCCCCACCGCAGCAACAAAATTCAAGTCCATCGATGCTCCCACCAACCAGTATGGGTTCCCAACAACAACAAACTTGTTCACCTGCCTCAGCGACGAATACACTGATTAGTGGAAGCAATACAGACAATTGTGCGTCGAATTCACCAAACAACAACAATAACAACGTTAATTTAAATTATATGCAGATGGCCGTAAGAAATTCAGTAGCTGTTGCCGCCCTTTATACGCAACATCAAATGAAAGAAGAACCTGGTACCCAAACATCCACAACATACACGGGTCCTTCCAATAATACACAGACAGATCCAACAGATTTGTCAAATTTTGGACTCCCCGCACATTTATCTGGTACAACTGCAGCACATTTCAGCGATACAGATTATCACAGTTCACTGTCATCGCAGGACCATCAGAGTCAATCTAGTTATCTCGAAAATAGTACGGATTTTTATGGTTTAACAGCGGCAGCTGCTGCTGCAGTTGCAGAACAGAAATACAACGCATACGGACGTTCAAGATTTCCCGAATCATATCCACCTGAGTTTACGCCATACGATGCACCACAATTTCAATCAATGGCTGGTCAACCTCCTCCAGATCAATGGAGTGCTCATCATGCTAACCAACATCCAGCAGCTTATATGAGTACAATGGGTCTAGATAAAGCACTACTGGGTAGTGCTTATCCTGGACAAACTGGTGTACCTTGTTTTACAGGCTCAGGACCTATACAGCTGTGGCAGTTTCTACTTGAACTATTAATGGATAAAACTTGTCAGGGTTTTATCTCTTGGACAGGTGACGGTTGGGAATTCAAATTAACTGATCCCGATGAGGTCGCACGCCGCTGGGGCATTAGAAAGAATAAACCCAAAATGAATTATGAAAAACTGAGCAGAGGTCTGCGTTACTACTATGATAAGAATATCATTCATAAAACTGCAGGCAAGCGCTATGTTTACAGATTCGTCTGTGATTTACAGAATTTAATTGGGTAAGCATCAAAAATTTTTATTTGCAATTTCTCGAGTACTAATATGACACTTCTTTTTTTTGCAGTTTTTCGCCTGAAGAACTTTGTGCTAAATATGATCTTAAAACAGACAAAAAGGATGATGACTAAAAGCGAACATTGACTTTCGGTTCAAATTAATTAAGAATTAAATTCGGCTTTTACCATTTTGTGTTAACCTTGAGGTTTTTTCATTTTGAGCCAAATCGGTAATGTCGCTGGATGTTACCAAATTTTTCGATGAGATTCAAAATTGTTGCTGTGAGCTACACTGAAAAAAACTACTTTCAATCTTGTAAAGAAAAACGAGAAAAATATTTTTTGTCTTTTTGTTTTTATTTGGAAAATTCGCGTCAAGCATAAGGCAAATATATACAAAAATATATATACAAATTTATTTTATTTGCTTTAAATCGTGATGTAATATTTTAAGCTATTATATCTTTCTTACAAAGATTACTAATTGTTAATTTATTATACCCTCTTTTTTAAGTTCAAGTAAAATGTTTTTGAATTTACTCGATCTATGTTAAGTTTAAGATAATAATAATTATATACAATATATAATAATTATACATAAAATATATATAATAATAATAATAATAATAATGTGAAATATATTAAATATAATCCAAAATGATTGACTATTGATACGAAATTCATAAAAAAATAGTTATTAATAAAAATTAAATTGTTCTTAAATATATTACAATAATATAAATAAATAAATTTTAATTGAAATAAAGAAAAGCAATGTTCTCGTTAGATTTTAAGAATTTTTCGCTTTTTTAATTTAATTTGTACTTTATTTTATCTTTTATTTTAGTTTAACTGACGGAAGAGAAATTCATTTAGTTGTTTACACATAGTATCAATGAAATAATTAATTGAAAATAAATAAATAACAAAATAAGAAATTGAAATTGTGCAATTTCTTATAAAATTAAAAAAAATTTATAGTTTAAAATGTGATTCAAGTAACCGTCTACCGAAACCGCCATAAAATTATTTCCAAAGTAACGTGATATAAAATTTTGTAAACTAAACTAAACTTACGAAATATTTAATTTTTTAGATGTAAAATTTTACAAAAACCTTTGATTAATCACATATTTTTCTAACATCCAGTAAAAAATTTTGGAATTTGTTAAATTAGTTTATAACTTACACAAAACTGCAGAATGTACGTGCTTCCGTAAGACTTGAGAGTAAAAAAAAAATAAATTAAATTAAATTAAAAATGAATACTTTAAATAATTGTAAGAATTTATAATTGTAAAATTAAAAAAAAATATAACGAAAACTTAATATAAGTTTCATTTTTTAGCAAAATAGTGTTTTAGAACTTTAGCATAATTATTTGTTGCACAAACAGTAAAAAAATTAAAAACTAATATAAAATAAAATGAAAATGCTCAAATTAAATTTACTACACAAAGTTCTTGTTTATTATACTCTTAATGACTTTAAATGATTTTTAACATATACAAATACCTTTAATTCAAATTAATATTTAAAAGTCGTGACAAAGTAGAAATATAGACTTATACAATTTGCGTATGGAACCACAAAGGCTAGTCATAAAAGTTTAGCAACAGTGGACTTACAGCTCTCCACACAGATATAGTATCTTCTCCGAGACCACAGTTGTACTGCTGCAACATACTGAATAGACTTCCGCCTAACATCTTCCAGAAAAATTTCTATCTGGTAGGTATACCTTTCACAAAATAATTAATAATTTTTAACTAGCTAACAAAATTTCAAATCTCAATTACCAGAAATAGTTTACTATTTTCACTTCAATAAGATTTGTACTTAAGAACAAACTTTTGTAGTAGTAAATACAATGTTGTTGTTGTAAAATTGTATTCTGTTGTAGTTTACTATTTGCTTGGTTAAAAATTTCTATACTTAAAGATGTCCAAGATTTTAAAAGTTCAAGAAACAGCTTTTTCTTTTTTTTGCATCCTCAAACCGACCGTCATCGGAATGGTCTACTCGACTACGACTATGTATACGAACCTCCCCTTGGCATCACTTTCGTATTACTTCGAGGAGGGTCTTTTATTCGTTGCCTATTCATGCCTATATGGTTTTTGTAAAACTTGCGTATAGACTTCTACTCTTTTTTTGAAAAGTCTCTAGACTAGATTGAAAGGTTTCTACACTGCTTTTCACTTTAGTTTACTAGACGTTTACTTTAAGACGTTCAGGTCTTTCTTCTTTTTTCAGATCACTTTTTCGATGTATTAAGCGATTTTTTTTTCAATTATCTAATCTACATGACAATAACTGATTCAAGAAGTTCAAGTTTAGAAATTTGTTCGCTGAGCATATATGCATTTGTTTTTTTTATAAGTATTTTGCTTTACGTTCTTAGTACGGTCTTTACTTAAATATATATGTTCTTTGATGGGTGTGAATGGCAACATGTTGTTGTACATTGAGCGGCGATCGAACGGTAAAATTTCTAAGTAGGCATTAATTTTGTATGGCTTTGGATATTTACTGAAAATATGTGCAATTGTTCCCTTACTTTATACTCGTTGGTTTATAATAAAATCAAGTATGCGATATGAATCATATAAAATAATCTCTTCTACAGTAGATAGATATATTCTCAAAATATCTTAGGAACTTTCGTAGTTTATGCAACACAAACCTTTCGAAAAGAAAAGTAATGCCCAACGCATACTAAACTTCAGTGTCTTACTACAATAGCTGACAACTCCCACATTAGTCCAATTATATAGAGTGCAGTACCCAGCGATTAAAGCTTAATCGCGCAAAGTATTATAAGGGACGCAATGGGTCAACTTCATTTTTGACATTTCGTGCGTTGGACATTCATTTATATTTTCTATTGAATATTTTATTAAAAACCCCATTGGGGAATGAAAATGAGAACACCACAGAACAAGAAAATTAATACAGTATACAGTGATTTCAGAACAATGTAAATACAAAGCTAAAAAATGAGGCGACAGATAGAGAGGCATAGAAAGTAATGGTGAAGAAAGCATTGTTCAACTTCGGAAAATATTAGTGATAAATAGGAACGATTTTAGATCAATCATAAATAAAAATACTTCGATTTTGAATTGATTTTTTTCTATGAATTAATTTTAATATATATTTTTAATAATACTGTTATCAAGAATATAATGAGTTTAATGACTTATTCAATAAATTAATATGTGAAATGAGTTAAGCCGATCGTTTTATGTTTATAATTTTTGAGCGAATTTCATGTTATCAATTTTTTAAAGTTTCATCTGCTTTCTCCTCTGCTAGTCCTAATCCATTTATGAGACCACCAATGAAACTATTAATAATTTGATTGTTAGCTGCTGTTTGCGCCGAAGATTGCCCCCCTGCTGCTACTGCACCGCAATTGTACATTTTATTTAGTTTTTCAATATCAAATGCAGAAAAGCCATCACGCTGACCCATCAAGTTACTACCACCAGATTGCTATATATGAATAAATGAAGACATTAAAAATATATAGTTATAGCTTTTTAACAACATTTTTTACTAACCATTGCAATAATTGTTGGCTGTCCATTGTTAGAGAAAGCATTTGATGAGTAATGCATAACACTTCCATAATCATAAGGTACGCCATAGGCCATTGTTTTTGCGGCTTTTTCAAAATTAGGCATTGCATTAGCTTGGATATTTTGATATTGGATTGAAACGAATGAATCGCGTTCCTGTCGGTTTTGTTCATGTAGAAAACCTAATGCATGCATAAGTTCATGCATAGCAGTTCCTCTTTTAGTCAGACAACCTGGTGATTGCAAGTTAACTTCTTGTTTCCCTCCAACACGTCCAACCGATGACCAACACCCGCTGTTGCCGTTTACAATAGACAAGTAGTCCTTTTGATTTGTGCGCGGAATGAATCGAATACACGTACGTTTATGATATTCTTCAATTGCATATTCTAAATGACAATAAAGTAGAAAAGTATATATATAAAATGGTTTATTAATTTGTAATTAGGTTGATATATATGATCGTCAGCTTTCTTTATGTGAAACATAACAAACTTAAGCTAATTTGGCATGTTGTGATACTACATGATATTAGTAGAACCTGTAATTTGATTATTAGCTCTCCTGGAACTTGTTCATTGATCGTTATAGTATCATTGTTAAAGCCACATTGGCAACATATAAGATTCTTGCAGCTAATAGCGTCCTACTATATCTATTCATTTTTGATTTCTTTTTATTAGTTTATTTACTCACAGTAAATTTTAAATGGAAGAGCAATTCTTCTAAATTATTTTATGAGATCATGTGTTGTTTCATTATTGAAATATTATAATATCAATAATATGATTGTATCTCTCATTAGTGAGTACGAAGAAGGTAGTTTGGATTTCAAACCCCAGTAAAATATTTTAAGCTAAATATATAATGTGAGCTTAAGTCAAGTCTTGAATTCACTTTTACTTTAGTCTTTAGAAAATTTTATAAATTAATTTTAAGGACTACAGCTAGTCCTTACACTTTGAGGACTAACTTAGTCACAAATTGAATAAGTTAGTTTTACTGTTGTAATACTTCTGCTTTAAAATCTTTAGAAAATTATAACAATTAAATATTAATTTAAGTGTATCACACTAGGCTTATATCTTTGCATTTAAGTCAATTTACACTTAGCCACAAGATGGCACTTTCTGTCACTAGGATTCATTCCTATCTAAAAAAATTTGTTATTTCATAAAGCAATCCCCTTTCTATTTTCTTCATAAATCGTGAGTAGAATAAGCTTAACCTTTACATAAACTTAACTCTAGGAAATTATATAAAAATATTGTTTACTTACCAATAGTCGCTAAGTCGCGAGCACTAAATTGACCTCCAACTTCGAAGGGCACAACACCATTAGGCCAACGAGATGATAGCGAAGTTACACCATTTTTTGTAAATGCACTATTCGCTTCAGTTGGTACGAGAATGTCACCTTCAAGGTAAGAACCAAGTTCTTCTGGATTCACCGAAGAAGCATCTGGTGTATAATTAGCTACAAGTTCGCCAGTTGCTTTACTGTCAGGAGTTCCGTAGAGAGCATTGCCATAAAAACTCAAGTCTATTAAAGACGTATTTCCTTCATCGATATCATTTGAAATTATTTCAATAACTTCTGTATCATCGTCATCGTCTACCATTGGTCTAGCGAATGTATAGCAACTCATATGCCAAAAAATTGGAAGCACCAAAAATAAAATTTTAAACAATTTGTCCATGTTGTTCCAGTTACTTCACTTTAGGTTAACTGCTGGTAAAGAAAAACAGCTTTGCTTTTATATTCAAAATGCTGAGCCTTTAAACAATTCACTTCTACTGCCTGGCTTTCTTCGCCGTATAGATTTATGGGGTCTTAATTATATCGTGTTTTTTTTTTTTTTGCATCAACGCGCAAAAATTCTTAGCTTTTTTCTTATCAGTCATTTAATTCATAAAAACTTAAATAATTTCATTGTTCTATTTACCAAACAAACCTTAAACAGACTTACTCACGTCAGCGTCAGCGTCAGCGCCAGCGTAAGTGCATAGACACCGCGTAAAGATTGCCGCTTTGCCGGGTTCACCTTAGACCTTCGCCTTCGTTTTGTCGGCGTCGTTTGTTAGTTCAGCCGATTTTAGAAACGTTATTCAAATATTTTGGAGCACCTTTTCGTACTTCATTATCAACAAGAAACATTTTCATTCTCATTTTAATTTCCATTTATTTATGTATGTATATTCAAAACATAATTTTTACTATTTTTAATTTCATTTTTCGACTTCTTAATCGGATTTACCTACATATGTATGTACATACATTCATGTATATTGCACGACACACTCGAATATGATTAGTGCGAATACATTTTGTATTTGAATAACCGATAAAAATTTAAATATGTTGGAGATACATTTTTATTGACTTAGCTCTTTGCGTTATGAGTACGCATTCATTTGGTAATGAACTGTGATTTAAACTAAAGTTTAAAGATGATGAAATTTACTTTACTATTCATTTTTAAGGTTGTTTTTAGTATTATTTGATTTTATTTATATTTGAAAAATTTTCTGTTCTCATACATATTTATTTAGTTCATTTTTAAAGTTATCCTCAATGATTTGTAATCCTTCGTCTTCTTATTGACCATCCCACAATAGTGAATGTGCCATAATAGCATGGACGTTTCCAGAAGTTAAATTAGAGGGATCTAATATAATGCTGTCATAGATATATATAGCGTGGTACGTTGGGACAGCGCAACGTCCAGCAAATGGCCCCACTAAAGTGAAGGATTAGTCAAAGTCAACCACAAAATGCCTTGGGTGCATTTTCGTCCTACGATTCTCGAATGTCGTTATTAAGTTAAAGCTAGAGTGGCTTCCAATCGCATAACTACATCACTTGTTATTGCAAACAGTTTATTTGAATTGAGATTGCCTACCAAGCCATCACCAACCCAATGGTATCCCAAGACCGTCAAGCTCCTACTTGCCAGTGCTGGATATTGGGACAATATATGCACCACTGTCTCCCTTTCTTCTAGACATTGTCTGCAAGTATCTTTCTCAACAAGAGTTATCTCTTTGAGGTGATACTTAAAGTTTCCATGTCCAGTAATCAATGAGGTTAGCTAGCTTAGAGTGCTCCGCGGATAACTTAGCACTTTTATCACTTCCCTGGTCAACGGTTTCGGCATCATGAGTTGAGTCTGTCTACAAATGCTCATCTCTCTTCATCTGTTAAGTTGAAGTAAAGTTATCCACTCATCGACATAGGCTGCAGTCATATTGTAGCCCAAAGGTATTCTGGGCTCTGGGCTGCAGAAGTTATGGCTTGATTCTTGCTTTGCAAGTTCATCTACCTTTTCGTTTTGCTCAATACCGATATGTCTTTTAACCCACATGACTGTTACCTCATTTCCTTGAGCACATTCCATTGGCTTCGTGACACATTCTTGTACTATGCTGTTAACCATGCAAAAGATGCTTTTGATAACTGCTTGATAGTCCAGCGCAATCAGAATTTTTTTCTGTCATAGATGAGGTTTCTTCTTTTATTAACAGTCATAAACACCTAATTTTTTTCAAGAGTATTGTAATATATTAAAATGGAGAGTGACTAAGGAGACTTCGCCGCCTATATCTGTGTACATCCATGGTTCATCTCCCTTTGATGGACGGATTGATTTGACATACTAACGTGATAGAAAATGTTCTTTTATCTATTGTTGATTATTTTTCTTCATGACATAGCCACAATTATACTCACAGGATTCCACATTTTTAATTTTAAATTGTAGTATGAATTTGTAGAAGAAAATTCAAAATTTATATCTCAAACTTATCAATTAAATATTTTTATGTTACATGTCCAAATAAGTTAATCTTTCCAATTTAAAACCAATGCGGTATTTACTATTCATTTTTTCATATACCACGAGGGAATAAGAAACTTGAATCCCTGTTGTGCTATGACTCTAAAACTCTGATTGAAAACATTTGTGCATCATTTTAAAATAACTATTCGCCTTGGGATTAAGTCAGAGAGATAGAGAGAACGAGAGAGAGAGAGAGAGATGCAAAATTTAAATACAAAATATTCGTGATAATAAAGATCTCGAATAATAATGACAATAGGTATAGACAGAAATCAGGACAGGATATTCCAAGAAAAAATGTTTATGATTTAATATCATTTATTAAAAAAGATCATTATATTAAAACTGAAATCTGTTTCAAATAACTGCACTCGATTGTCTCAATATAATACACGCTTATTTCTTCAACATCGATAAAACACATTTAGGAAGGAAAGTGTGACGCCGTTATCCTACGATAACGATATCCTACCATAATAAAATATTATTTCGATCATAATTCTAAGGAGGTATGTGGAGACATCCGCCTCTCATCTATCATTGTTTGCACCCATGAGAACAAGTTCATTCGAACATTTAAGAGTAGCCACATTTGTACAATAATTTCTACTTTTTATCTTCAAATATATTATACTCGTATATAAAATATTGTTGCTTTTATTTGGTACTTAAATTTATTTTTTTAAACCGTAAAATACTTATAAATCCATGCTTATATCCATTATTAAATTTGTATCGATGTTATCAGCCTGCGTTGAAATATCCTCTTCATCAAATTTAAGTTTCATACAGTTAAATTTAAGTGGTGATTCCTCAATTGGTGACCCGCGTTTTATAGGAGTTTTAAGTGTAGATGCTGCTGTTGCGGGTGGGCAATGCTTTCCACAGATGCTCTCAATGATCGATTCCTGATCCAAGTGATCTTCAATACAAGTCTTTAAAATAGTTGATGTTACAATACAGTCTCTATTTATAGCTAAACTTTTATGGAAGTACGTTATCGCATCTTCGAGATTACCCATTAAAGCATGTACAAATCCTATTGCGGTGTAGGTTTGTGGAGTTTGGGGTTTTAGAAGTAATGCCTTTAAAGAAAAGGTTTGTATTTTATTAATAATACCTGTTGCCGAAAATTGCGAATAATTTAAAAACCTTTGTCTGGCAATCATGACAAACAGCTGACTTGGAGACTTCGAAATTTTTAGTAACATTTCCGTTTTTCATTTTCTCTCTTTTCTTGTTTGTGATTGCTAGACAAAGGTAAGTAAATTTTAGTTTAATTTTTCAATCGTAATATTTTACTGTAATCATTAATTATGTTACAGATTTTTTAAGCGCAAAATAAAGGGTGCTATTTAAAATTGTCAAAAGTGCATTTATATATTTATTTTTACAACAAGAAATTCTTAAAAAATCTTTCTAATATGGAAAATGAAAATGACGTGGAGCTGCCTCTTCAAAAAGGTTTAACATCAGCAGCCATACTTGAAGTTGGAGATGCAGATGGTGATGATAAAATCTCACACAAACACAATGAGGATGATGGTCAACATAGTAGACAACAGCAGCAGCCCAGCGCCAACATTACTCGAATAAAACAACTTAAGTTGCAACAGCTAGAAGAGTCGTTGCAGATTAGGGAGAGCTATTTGCGGGAAAAATTTAAAATCCTTACTGCAGATAGTGACGACGAGGGTATCGTGGAATCACATTTGCCTGAAGTTGGGCCTCAGCTGAATGCACATCAAGCCGTAGCTGATGAACAGTTTTCGCCACATGGCCAACCTCATCTACAGAGTACACCAAGGTTAGTAAATAATCCATCTCTTTATACCTTACAGATCGCTCCCACGCTTACGTCGTCTCAGCTAGCAGCGCGTCAATGCATACCGAGAGATTTGCCTACGTTCCGCGGCGATCCAGAAGAATGGCACATTTTTATAAGTGCGTACGAGCAAACTAAGCAAATCGCAGGTTTCTCCGATTATGAATGTCTAATGCGCTTACAGAGGTGCCTCATTGGTAAAGCGCGCGATGTAGTACGCAATATGTTGGTGTTGCCCAATATGGTTGGAGAAATAATAAACACTCTTCGTATGTATTTTGGACGACCAGAAATAATTCTAAATAAGTTAATTGAGAAAATGCGTCAGTTACCGCCTCCAAGGGGTAGGCTGGGCGATTTAATTGACTTTGCAGTCAACATTAATAATGTAGTTGCAACAATTGAGGCATGTAAGCTCAATAGTTATTTTAATAATCCACTCTTATTACATGAGTTAATAAGTAAATTAACTGAAGATATGAAGCTCAAATGGGCACTACATTCAGCATCAATAGCCGAACCTACACTTCGCGATTTTTCAGCGTGGCTCTCATCTTTAGCAAATGCGGCAAGTAGAGTAGCTACACCTTCTTTTTTTGATAAACCACCAAAAAAGGAAGGACGAGTGCACGTACATCAGACAGCTGAAATGACAACCACGGCAGTTAGGTGTTACATTTGTGGCGGCGGACATAAAATAATGGAATGTGAAATATTCAAGAACGAGCCTACTAATCAACGCTGGCGCATTGTCAAGGAAAAGAAGCTGTGCCGACAATGCTTAGGCGAGCATAGGCGTCGCTGTTTCAATAATAAAGTGTGTGGCATTGATGGCTGCAATGCACGACACCACGCCATGCTGCATTCTCGGATAGACCAATCTACGCCAGCAATATCTTTTACAGCTAACAATGTTTCATCGGATATAGTAGAACAAATAAGTTTAAGTCCATACTCAAACAAAGCGTTACTCAACAACCATAATTCATCAGTGAATAAAAACTGGTCATATTGCCGAATTCTTCCAGTTACTTTATATGGCACCAAAAGGACTATTAACACATATGCATTGATGGACGATGGGTCAACACTAACGCTTATTGAAGCAAGTCTAGCCGATGAATTGGGAAACGATGGTATCCAGGATGCGCTATGCATTAATTGGACAGGTAATATCAGTCGACAGGAAAATAACTCAAAAAGGCTCAACTTACAAATTTCTGCCAATGCTCCTCAAGCTAAAAAATTTCCATTGAAAAATGTCCGCACAATAAGCAACTTACGCATGTCAGCAGAATCTTTTGCAGCTGATAAAATAAAACAATGGTATCCGCATTTAGATGGCTTGCCTCTAGCAAGTTATACAAATGCTGTCCCCATGCTGATTATCGGCGTAAATAATCCAAACTTAATTTCAGCACTTAAGGTGAGGGAGGGTGGCTGGCAAGAACCCGTGGCGGTGAAAACACGTCTTGGTTGGACAGTTTTTGGTAGTGGTGAATTAAACCACCGTAACAACTTAAACCTACACAAATGTAGCTGTGGACAAGAAGCTGATAGGGAGCTTCATGAGTTAGTAAAGACATTTATAGTAAACGAGAATGTCGCGGTGGCTACCCCAAAAGCAGAATTACTTTCAGTTGAGGATCAGCGAGCAGAGGAAATAATGCGCAAGTGCCAGTTACGCGGAAACCGCTACGTTGTCAATTTGCCATGGAACACCGATACGGTCGAATTGCCAAATAGCTTGCCGATGGCATTACGTCGAGCGGAGTGCTTACGTCGAAAAATGCATGGGGACCCTGAATTGTGTCAAAAGCTAAAGGAACAAATCACTACTTTAGTCAGCAAGGGCTACGCAACTGAGTTGCCACCAGAAGCAATTAACGAGCGAGGTGGAAAGATTTGGTATTTACCAATTTTTATTGTGCGCAATCTACTTAAACCGAAAAAGCATAGATTAGTTTGGGATGCTGCAGCCAAAGCTGAAGGAGTGTCACTAAACGATTTTTTGCTGAAGGGGCCGGATATGCTGCGACCACTTATAAACATATTATTAAATTTTCGTATAGGAAGAATAGCTGTCTGTGGTGACATTGCTGAAATGTTTCATCGAATTCTAGTACAAGAAGCAGATACTGATGCTCAGAGATTTCTATGGTTCAGCGAGACATTTAAAAATATTTGCGTTTATAAATTAAATGTAGTTAGCTTTGGTGCGCGATGTTCACCATATATAGCGCATTTTATTCGAAACCTTAACGCAGAAAGATTTATAGCTGAAAATCCTAGAGCAGTGTACGCTATTAAAAACAATCATTACGTGGATGACTTTATAGATTCAACAAATTCCATTGAACAAGCAATAGCATTAGCCGAGGCAGTTCGCAACATACATGAACAAGGTGGTTTCCATATGAGAAGCTGGACAAGTAATGCACCAGAAGTTTTAGCTGCGTTAAACGAAAATGGTGAACAGACGGGTAAGTCGTTTGATAATAATATCGACACACTTCCGATCGAAAAAATTCTCGGCATGTATTGGGACCCGAAGTCAGATTGCTTTAAATATGTTTTAAAATTCGTTCGTTTACGTCGTAATGTTTTTGCAGATGAAATTGTACCCACTAAAAGAGAAGTACTTCAAATTTTAATGTCCATTTTTGATCCATTGGGACTGGCAGCTTGCCTCACATCATATTTAAAAATACTTATTCAGGATATTTGGAGAAGCGGAATCGACTGGGATCAACCACTGGTACCCGATCTTATGGGCAAGTGGTTAGCTTGGGTTGCCTGCATGCCTATTTTTGCTAATATTTCTGTACCCCGTTGTTATTCACCATACATAACAGAAAGTTCATGTGATGTACAAATTCATACATTCGTAGATGCGAGTGAGTTTGCTTATGCAGCTGTATCATACTTCCGCATTAAAGATAAATATGGAGTAAGTATGAGGATCGTAGCAGCAAAAACCAAAGTCGCTCCAATGCGACCGATGTCTATTCCAAGAATGGAGCTACAAGCTGCTGTAATTGGCACACGGCTTATGAATACAATATGTAAAGTACACACATTTGATATTAAAAAGCGTTTCATTTGGAGCGATTCCAAAACGGTGCTAAAGTGGTTGCGTGGTGATCCACGTCAATTTCAACAATTCGTAATGTTTCGCATTGCAGAAATTCAAGAAGCATCAACCGTCGAAGAGTGGAGATGGGTACCCACGAAATTAAATACTGCAGACAGTGCAACGAAAACAAAACAAAGTCCCGAATATGTGCAGCGGTGGGTCGAAGGACCAGAATTTTTGCTACAAGACGAGGATAAATGGCCAACTGAGGTGGACTTAGGTCCGATGGAGACCAGTGAAACTCGTGCAAAATTTTTATATCATCGCGAGACACAACCATGTTTCAATTATGAATATTTTTCATCCTGGATCAAGTTGTATCGTGCCGTTGCAAATTGGCTACTCTACATTGGGAAACTAAAGGCTCGTTGTGGCGGTTTCAATGCTACAAACGTTATTTTGACTGTTCAACATATTGAGCGCGCGAAGCTCTTAATATACAAAAGCGTGCAACAGGAACTACTTGAAGATTGGTCGACACTGAAAATGGGGAGAATAGTAGAAAGGAACAGTCCGTTATATAGGTTGCAGGTGTATATGGATAACAATGAGCTCATAAGAGTAAAAAACAGAGCGAGTAACTTTACGAATGAGTGTAAACCTCAAACTGATTTTATTTTCTTACCGCCAAAACATAGAGTATCGTACCTTATATGTGCGCACTATCATGAACGATTTTATCACATCCAACATGAAACTGCTTTAAATGAGGTCAGACAATTGTATTTCATACCAAAATTAAGACCATTATTCAAATCGATGCGACGAAACTGCAACGTATGTAAAATTTCATCGGCAATACCTCAAGCGCCGCAAATGGCCTTACTTCCCCCAGCACGACTAGCAGCTTTTCAACGTCCATTTACTCATGTGGGTATTGATTATTTTGGACCAATGGTGGTTATTGAGAATCGCAAAGCACTGAAAAGGTGGGGTGTTATAATAACTTGTTTGACTATCAGAGCCGTTCACATCGAAATCGCCCATAGTCTTAGTACTGACTCATGCCTAATGTGTTTAAGAAATTTTATTGCCAGACGAGGAGAACCTATCACCATCTACAGCGATAATGCAACGAATTTTCACGGTGTCGAGAACGTTTTAAAAAAGGAGTTAAAGAACATTGATTCCTCGGTTATGCAACACAAGCTAGCTCATCAAGGAATAGACTGGAAATTTAATCCACCGGCAGCACCACATATGGGAGGAGCGTGGGAGCGACTGATTAGAACAATTAAGACAGTGCTGTATCAAATTTCGCCATCTCAACGTTTTACGGATGAAAGTTTACGTACTGCATTACTTGAAGTTGAAATGATCATCAACTCGCGTCCTTTAACCTACGTGTCACTCGATAGTGAAGATGAGGATCCAATAACTCCAAACCATTTCTTGTTGGGGAGCGCTAATGGTTTGAAACCATTTTGTGATGCTAAGAGAATCGATCCAAAGATGTGCCTGCTACAATCTGAGATGTTTGCAAATCAATTTTGGCGACGATGGGTGCGTGAGATACTTCCGACATTAACGCGTCGCGGCAAATGGTTCAATAAAGTGAAACCCATTACGGTAGGAGACGTTGTGCTGATAGTTGATGAAACGGCTAAGAGAAATACTTGGGTAAAAGGCATAGTTATCGAGACAACTGTAGCGAAAGACGGCCAAGTAAGACGAGCTAAGGTCAAAACAACAAAAGGCTTTTTGGAGCGCCCTGCCGTAAAGCTGGCCATTCTGGATATCGGCAAAGTTGACGCAAACGACATTGGGGTCGCCTGCGGGGAGGAGAATGTTGCCGAAAATTGCGAATAATTTAAAAACCTTTGTCTGGCAATCATGACAAACAGCTGATTTGGAGACTTCGAAATTTTTAGTAACATTTCCGTTTTTCATTTTCTCTCTTTTCTTGTTTGTGATTGCTAGACAAAGGTAAGTAAATTTTAGTTTAATTTTTCAATCGTAATATTTTACTGTAATCATTAATTATGTTACAGATTTTTTAAGCGCAAAATAAAGGGTGCTATTTAAAATTGTCAAAAGTGCATTTATATATTTATTTTTACAACAATACCTTTGTTTTAAATGTAGATGATAAATAAACTATTTTAAACAAATAAAATAAGTAAGAAGTCCCCCAATTGAGATGATTTAAATCACTTTAGATTCTGGACAAAGAATTTCATAATCAATATATTCAGATGTTGCTTGATAACTCGGTAATCGGTAAAATGATACGATTTGAAACAATTAAGCTTTTTAATTCTTTCTCGGTAAAGTTGAGTACGGACCTCTCTCCACTAGGAGAGATCCGTATAGCAAAAATAAATAATATAATAAAAATTCCAAAGAAACTGATTTTGATTGATTACTGTATATAAAAATAATAGAAGAGCAATTGAAAATTCAAAATCCAAGATACTGCCACTCATTAAAACAAAAGTCGACAAGATTAAATAAATATTTATTCTAGAAACCCAACATATCACATAAACACAACGCAGTTAATACTCCCTTGAATATTTTATCTTTCACATAACATTTTTTTAAGAAGAGAAAGTTTAAAAAGGTTTAGGCACTTTTGATATATCATATAAAGTCTGCCTTAAATAATGTTTATGATATTCGACATGTGCAAGAGTGGTAGAATTAGTCTAATCCAATCGTTGGAAGATTACTTTGAATGTATTCGATATATTTTAAATGAACAGATTTCTGTGTAAACGGATATAATATGGAATTATTAAATAATAACTCGTTGTAACAAACATGCACACAATCGTACTTTGATATTCTATTTTTATGTATTAATCAATGTATACTTAGTCAGATATAGATTTAAAAAAAAAATAATAATATATCTAAATTACTTACGTATTGGTGATATTCCAAGGCATCCTCATATTTTTTATTTTTGCGACAACAATGTCCTAAATTGTTAAACAAAGGTTCCCAGCGCGCTGAAACTTCCTCCTTATTCTGTTTCGCACGATTAGTAACAATTTCAACTGTTGCTCGGAAAACTTCTTCAGCACTCTCGAAACTGTAAATAAAATTTAATAATTTTACAAACAAAATACATATTTAACTTACTAGTCATATTCGTATTTAATAACGCCCAATTCATGTAAAACATACACATCCAAAGGTGCTATGGACATGGCTTGATAAAAGAATTTTTCAGCTAACTCCAAGTTTTTCGTCAACCCACATTCGACGCCTATGTATAGTAAAGGCAAATGACAACCGCGCATAAGCTGAGTAGCTTTGAAATAAGCAGCCATAGCCTATGAAAAATTTATGAGTTTCTACATATGGTAAAATATGTTAGAATACAACTAACCTGATCATGCTCATTTTCTTTTGCAAACGAATGTCCATATGCCAACCATGCAGGTCCGTACAAACGATCTAATGACGTTGCCTTAGAGAGGTACCTACGAGCTGGATCACTTTTTCCAATGAGATCATAGTAACATCCTACGGCATACCAGGATATAGCTTTATCAGGATATCGATCAACCAATTTATGAGCCACATAGAAAAGCTCTAAATAAAAATTTTATAAAATTTAAGTGTTAAAATAAGTTAAAATAACTTTACTGTTGTAGTCTCCAAATTCTACAAGGCAACCAATTTGTACTGTTAATGCTTCGTTGTGGTAAGGATCGATTTTAATAAGCCTATAATGTTTAAAATTTATATACGATAATATTAACTTACTTATATAGAGAAATATACTTACTCGTTGAGAATTTTGAAGCACTTTTTATATTCACAATCGTAAAATAACTTTTCAGCTTCCGCAGCCATTATATCAGTGCTATTGTTTATTCGTTCTAAACTGACAACAAGAGGTAAACCTATATTGTAATCTGATTCTTTGTGGCGAGCACGACCTGGAGTTTCTGTATGCGAACGCGCCGTTTCGTTCGCTAAAGAAGAAGCACGTGTGAGACTCACTTGAAGAGAAAATGGTGTGTTTTTCAAGTCTTCTAGTACTCTAGTAATAAAAGAAATAATTAAATAAATATTTAAATTATATTTCAATAATCTAACTTATTTGCTGGTGATATTATTTGAGTTGGTGTCATAAACTTTGGTAATAAATTTCTATAAAGGTGTCCACCAGTTGTGCGCGTTTTAAGTATTCTCTCAGTAAGTTCTTTGATTGATTTCATTGTGACATTTTCAATTGGAGCCTCTTCTGTATTAGTTTGCTATAAAGTTATTAATGATATTATATATTATGTCACCTAAACATATATTTTACCGGATTAATTGAGTCATAATATTTTTTTAGCTTTGATTCATATAATGTCGAAATAAATTTAGCATCAGCTTCGGAAGACTGTTGTACAAGTGGTAGATGTTGCATCAATTCCTTTTCTGAAAATATTTATCTTATTGTACAATGAATAGTAAAAAAAATATAATAATATAAGGTAATTAACCTTCCCAAGCCATAAGCATTTCATGTTGCAATAACGCATCTAAAGCTTCGTAGCAATAAATTGATTTATGTAAGGCCTGCACATAAAAATCCATTGCTAAACCGCGATTGTCCATTGCTTCGAATATTTTGCCCTTAAGAAAGTATATTGATGCAAGTGTTTCCTAATATAATGATTGTTTTTAAGCAAAAAAATAATTCAAATTTTTAATTAATTACATTTTTGCCGACATCATCGAAATAAATACTATTATTTTCATCAACTCGTCCATCAATTGGATGATTTAATAAAGAGGAAGCAAGAAACTCAACGTCGACAGTGTTAATGATGGAGACAGCATCGTTAAACTCTTTAGCTTCATACAGACTCTCTAATAGTAAATTGTAGCACGGTATATTTGTCTTCTCCAATTTATGGTAACGAATTTTGTGTGCGGCTCGATGGTATTCTTTTAGAAGAAACATGCATTGCGCTTGAGAATAAACATCATTTGGATCATTATTACTGAGAACACAGACTTTTTCAGACCAGAACAGTGCAGTTTGGTATCGTCGCTATAATTTAGTTTAAAAAAAAACAATTATAGCGCGTATATAGTACTAAATGAAAATCGTCGCTTACCATATCTATAAATTGTTTTACTAGATTTCTGTAATGAGCTACATCTATAAAATCATCCTGATCCGAGCAGCTATTATTGCGCATTTCACTATCCCCAGTCATAGCTTAAAAAAGATTCTATAACAAAAATAACAAATTCTTAATTGGAGTCCTGCAATAAACAAACTATAATAAACAGCTGTCAAATGTCAGCATTTTCAGTGTTCCGAAAGAGGAACACTTGAAATGAAACACAGGAGAGTATCCACTCTTTAAAAACAATTTTTATCAGATTAGTTCACAATTAGTTTGTTACAAAGTACACAATTATTTTTATCTTCACCAAAGCTAATCCTTATATATATATTGTATGATTGTATTGAGTTATTGACTAATTAAAATATTTAAAAATTATTTTGGATATAAAAAAGTCGAGAAAAATATTTTGAATAAAATACAATATATATAAATATAAAATGAACTCAAATTACTTTTAATTGAATATCATTTCATAATTATTGTGAATTTATGTATGGAATTTCTATATGATAAATTAAAAATTGGAAATTTATTGATAAGAAAATAAAAGCACATAACATGATATCATTATTACTATTTCTCAAAAAGCAAGTAAAACAATAAAATATTCAACACAAAATTAAAAAATAATTATATAATAATTTTTATTTAAAAATATAAAATTCGACAAGTATATATTAATATCATTTTTGTTGTTCACTTAATGCTATTTTCGATTAATAAATCTGGGGTAACTGTTTCAATCGGGATTCATTATTAGTCCAATATTCATTTCTGATTAGTAAATCTCGAGCGAAATGTACAACACTCGAGATTAATTTATAAAGCTCTAGATATTTTGCAAGAATAGCAAGATTATCCTGAAATTAACAGATGTTTTATATGACTTGATTAATGAAGTTTAATTTGATTCGATATATGTATTTATGTAAAATATAATAATAAAGATATTAGATCTACATTAAATCCAGATTTACCAATCGAAAACGCAATAAATTGCTAATTGATGTAGTGTGTAATTTTGCGTTATAATAGATCGAAAAGTTGGAATTATTTACAATTAATGTTAGCTTCATTAAGTAAAAAAATTTATATCTGTTTAAAATTGTAAACTTCTTTAATATCTTTAAGAATATTATTATTCAAATAATATAAAAAAAACTTATATACGTAAAAATATACGTATATAAGTTGTAAAAATAAGGCCCATGTTGTAGAGTGTCACTGGCACGTAAAAATCAATATTGTTGTTGGTTTCAATGCAAATTAAAAAACTGACAGTGAGAGAATAAAAACAGATGGTTTAAATTCTACCATGAGAGCCGAGGCCACTGTGCTTCGTTGTATGTGTGTATTTATATATTTCCTTTAAAACTTAGGCACAATCATAAAGTACAATAGTCCCTGTGGCACTCTACATAACTTGGACCATAGTTATGTTTACGATTTTTATTTTTTAGCTAAAATTATAGTTACTTTCGGTTTCAAAATAAAAGGCAGAATGACAGAATATGAATACGATCCTTGCCTTATTAAAAATAAAAATTTAACATAACCAAATAATAAAACTTTTTGAAAACTGTCAACTATATTAAATTCCTGAAGATATATAACGATTAGCTTTAGAATGTTCAAGAGATTTAAAAATATAAATAATTAAATATTGAATTTCCTGACATTGCAAATTGAGTTCCAAAGTAAATTTAAAACTTTTAAATAAATGATTTTTTTTAACAATTAATTTTAGTTGGATTTTATATTAAAAAAGGCACTTATTGCCCCACATTCGTCGAATTAATTACAAAAATACAAACGTACTGTTACAACTTATTTTTTTAAAAATCTTTTTGGGTGGCTACCCTAAATTATATCGAACATGGTAATTTACGTAAACTGTTATACTGAACTATCGGTTTTATATGAAAGTTGCAACTAGTAAATCCTTAACTTAGTATCATTTTGTTTTTAACCGCAGAGGGAGAGGTCGCTTTCTGTTACGTTATAACTGTACATTATAAAAAAATATTTTTAATTATATGTACAAATATATATATATATATGAAAACAATAAATTGTTGAATACAAGAGAAGTTTTAAAAAATTGCTTATGTTTTTGATTTAACCAATCAATTTACTTTATATAGTTTAAAAAATGCGGTCTTTGTATTAAGTGAATAAAGTAATAACGGTACTTTTTGTATATGTTTAAAATATCAAAAAAATGTGCTTTCACATATCCTAAATTCATATAAATTTCAAAATAGCAAGTTGGAATAAATTTATTATTAAAGAAATTCTAAAATACTATTAATTGAGCTATATAAAATGTTTCAATAGTACAGTAAGTATGTGTGTTTTAAAAATTATGAAATCATCATAACTATTAAAATATCTAAAGAATTTTTTTTTTTTTGTACATTATTTTGTCATAGTTTGTAAAACGGGAGGAGTCATTCTCTTTTCAATACGATGCTTTTCCTTGCTTTTTGCTATTGTCCCTTATTTTCGTCCCAATACCCTTCAATTGAGTGTTGCCAGTAACTTCTGCTTCTTGCTCCAGCAGTGAATGTAGTGTGTGTTTAATGTAAACTGCCGGTTTGTGGTTGTCGCCTCATTGTCTTCAAACATATTCATTAGTTTTTACTATTTTACTATCATTTTAAGATTTCGGAAACAAAGTTAACGGTTATTGTTGCGTTATTGTGCGTTTTGTTCTGTTCTGTACTGTTGTGTGATTTGTGATTTTTTTTTGTACTTTTCTCTCTGTTCATTTAATTTTAATATATTAAGTAAAATGCGACAAAATGAAATCGGTCTTAAACTGATTTAAATACATAGTTTATTATATTTATAATATTCTTTATTTGAAATAAGAAATTACATTAATTTGTATTTTTATATATTGCAATATAAAAGTATAATATTAATTGAAACTCTATTTATTCTATTTTAAAATATATTTAAGAGTTTGAATTATTTTATTTGATCTATAGGAAAAATATTCATTTTATTTTCAGATAATACATTTGTGGCTTATAAAATTTGTAATTCAACAGAAACGAACTTAGCACATGTATTTTATTTACTTGGTTATATGTACAAAAAAAATGATTCAATAAAGTAGGAGACGCACTAAAGCAAAATCTTTAAAGCAAAGCACATATAGTAAACATGTTCGAGTTGCTATAAAACATCTGCGTACATGTATGACACATAATTTAGAACTCAGTGATTTTTATGCTGCATTTAACAGGCAAAGGCAACGGCAAAGGCAACGGCAACGTTAGCATTTTCCTCTACTCGAAGAAGGGTGCGCCCAAACATAGGATTTCCTTTAAGGAACCAATATCGGACACCAACACACAATTTTCATCGAGCTAATCAATTTGATTCGCGGAAATTAAATATTTTTAAAACAATGCCGTCATTGCAACAGGTATGTATCTCAGAATTAATGGAACGTTTTGCTAAGCAGTGAATGTCTACTATATATATGTCTAGTATATAATAACAGTTTAGTTTTGAGTGAAGAAAATTTAATGTTTAATGTTTACAAATTTTTAAACATTTATTAGTGTATATAGTGCGATTAATTATTATTAATATGTAGATTTTTAAATATGATATATCTAATAATATTGTTCTTAATGAGCTTTAAATAAATGCACACGATTTTGAGTACTTAGTCTGAGAAAACAGAAGACAATCCAATAAGTAATATATAAAAAAAAAATAATAAAATTTATTTTATTTCAATGTATAAAAAAAAAAAGTTGGTGATAGATATAGTAATATAATCTAGTGATATTTAGTAGAAAATGAAATATACAATTGAAAGATTTAGGAGTTTTCTACTTTAGCACAATATAACCATAGCCAATTAAGCTCCAATTAAGAGACAACACATGCAAAGCAGTGCTGCAGTTTCGGTTTCTGTAGCTACCAGGTGTACTTAGTATCGCCCATCCCAACCAACAAAAAACTAAAAAGAGAGTAATCTTTCTAAACTATAACTATAACTACCTATAAAAAAGGTACTTATAAGAAATAAACAGGTTTGTATATATAAGTAGTCGTTTCACCGCGTGGTTATGCTTTGAATATTACTTACAGTTATTATTGATCAAAACTAATACTTTTTCCCATAAAATATACTTGGAGAATATAGTTCATAGCGCAGTAAATATGTGACAGAAAACTGTGTCAAGCCAATTAATATATTGGTTTTGTGTTGACAGTAATGGTTCCTCTTGTAAACATAATCAGGGCAGAGGGATTCAAATGAGTAATTCACTAGTCTTTATTCTATAAGTATTTCGAGATTCAAAACTATGAAATAAGAAACTTAACATTTTAATAAGAATGATAACAAATAAAAAAATATTAACAAATGATAACAAAAGTTACAAATTAGAAAAGTATTTTAGGTGGGTGAGAATAAACTTAAAAGGAATAGAATGGCTGACTTAGAGTCATAGTTACAAACTCCGACAGTACATTTATTACAGTAGAACATTTTAGTTTACTATAGGTATATATATATATCAGATATTACGGCATCCCGTTTCATGTGAGGCGAAGCTAGTTTAAACGTTGTGAAAGTTGAGCCATTATGAGTCCATATTGCCATATAAAGCCCATATATTGTTCATATTCATTAGAAACAGTCGTAATAGCCAACAATACGTTCATTGCAGTATACAACATTTTACTTCACAATAGGCTTATATATACATATATATGAGCATCATTCCCGTCCAATGTAAATTGAGGTTAACTTAGAGCTTAAGAAAGTTGATCCATTACGAGTCAATATAGCGATCGTATGCTACATTATTGATATTCGTTAGAAACAGCTGCAATAGCCAGCAGTGCGTTCATTACAGTAAAACTTTTTAGTTCACTATAGGCTTCTATATCAGATATTAGCGGCTTCCCGTTCCATGTGGAGTGAGGTATGCTAGCTTAGATCCAATATACTTGCCTATAGAATTAATAAATTAACAATTGTAAAAAATACGTATAAGATTTAATATAACTTAAAACAGAATTATTGATTTATATATGTTATTTAATGTTTTTTTTTCTTTTCACCTCACATTTGAGGCGAGGCTAGCTTAAGTCTTAAGACAGTTGCGCCAATATGGTTCCCAATAGAATTAATAAATAAGCAATTGTAAAAAATACATATTAAATTTAATATAACTTGAAATGGGATTATCCATTTATATATGTAATTTAATGTTTATTTTTTTTTAAAAATCAGCTATAATTATATATTACTAAATCGAACAGACTTTTGGTTTTTGCTAATGTATAATGGGTATGGTCTGTTGGTTCGTAACTATCTGCAATAAAATACAATACTATGGAACCATACAAAATTTTAAACTAATACCTAATACCTCATCATTCCCTTCCTCGTGCACCACTCATATTAGTAGTTGTAGTATTTGTTTCTCCCAAACAGTGCTCGTCTACTTCAGATTCAGTTCATCTCAGTTATTGTTGTCAAATACCAAATAATAAAATAAAAGGAATTGCTTATGCGACAAATAAATATTTATGTATACATATATATATATATAAATATATGTATAAATTTATATATAAATCTTATATATGAACGAAATAAGAGTTGAAGAAATTATGAATAACCATATATATAATAACGCAGTCGGAAGCAGCGCAAAAACTGCAATAAACGAAAAAGAATAAAATGCGAATAAATAGTAAATGGTTTTTAACATGTCACAGTAGAATAAAAAATTGCAAAATAATCTCTTTGCATTCAGCAGATTATCCTTAAATATTTATGTAAACATTGAAAGAAAGAATTGCACAGGGGGCAGAAAACAATTATACTTTAATGTTGTGGGGCAAAAATAAAAAAATTACAAAAATTACATTCAAGTATCTTCTAATTCCTGTAATATAACTATTTCCTAAATTAAATTGATATACTTCCGTTACTTCAGATTTTAAGTATTTTAATTTGCCTATTTTGGAATGAAATTTTTATTTTAGGATTGATAGAAAGAAAGAAAGATTAACGTAATATTTATACAAGTACATACTTGGAAATATTAGTATAATTACTATTTTCAAGCAAAAAAATATTTGTGATATATGTGATATTGATTTGTGATATTGACCATTCAAACTTCTACTACTCGAACTTTTATAACTCGAATTTTCTATAACTCGAATTAAAAAGAGTGCAACAGGGTTTAAAGAGCAAATTACATACAATTCTGCTTCCATAACCCGAACAAAAATTTTGTTCCGTGCCAATAGGTATATGGAAAAGTGCATTCTATAAGTCGAATTTTTGTATTTAGTATGAATTCATAATTGGTGTTAGGGGAAGTCCCTTTTTCCGAACTAAACATTTCATTTTCTTTTTCGTATGTTGCTTCTTAGTGTAAATGCTAGCCGCTGGCAGCGTGGTTTAAAGTATATAAAATAACTACCGATGCTACTCTTAACTATTATATTGAGCTTGACAATGAAATTTGTACATCAAGCTTTTCTACAGATGACGATAATATTGAGCATTATAGCTCTGAATTAGTGGATCCGATTCTAAGCGCAACGGAAAGTGGTGATAAGCGTTCGGTGGGTGAAATTGTTCATTAGCCTTCTAAGAATAGAATAGAAGACTAATTCGAAATTATGAATTTTTATTTACAAAAAAACTCTTAACTGATAATCGATCACTATAAGGCTTGGAATAATTTGGAATCTTTTTTTTTACTGGAAATTAGAAAAAGAAATTAAAATCCAAAACCCTAATATCTGATGTATTGTATATACCATATATGAGCAGCATTAAAGCTGATAGTTGCTTTTAATCCTAAATAGTGTGGCTCTTAAATTTTGGCTAAAATATTTTGTTTTTTAAGTAATAATTATATAATTGTTCCAAATTTTAACAAAAAATATTAAATGTAATATATGGTAAGTGATATTGATTTGCTATGCAAATATTGTATATATATGAGCAGCGCAGTATTAATGTTGTTAATACATAGAACTTTTCTTAAATGTAATTCCATTACCAAAAGCTTTACAGCTATTAATGCTTTATTTAATGATAATTATTTTTTCTTTGTAAAACAAACGAAGCACGAATGCACTTAGCATTTAACAACTATCGAATAGAAATATGAATGTATACAGTATAGAAAAATTGATACTATTTGTTATTGTTGTTGTTATTGTTATTGTTATTGCTGTGCTTCTTTGCCAGGAAAACTGTTCCTCTTCTAAGCGAGGCAGCCCAGCATCCATATGTGTGCAACTGCAACGAAACACCATCCCATGCTACATGCTATCACCATAGAATACAACAAACATTTTATTTCGACGGCAACGTTTCCGATTTTTCCGTTAACATGAGTTTCCTTTAAACAAATAAACATTAAATAAAAATGCATAATTCAATGATGAATGTAGTATCTTTACGAAGATTATGTAACATATAGTACGATATACACAATTTTATAGTATATTTTTAGGCGAAATGAATGTTCAGTACTCTTGGAAATAATTTCTACTTTTCGTATTCGCGAACAGAAAAAGTCACACACCTTCTTGACAGTACGTCATCAGTTTTGAAACATTTGCATTTGTAGAATCAAATAATAACGCAATAAGTTTTGAAAAGTTTTAATTTAATTAAAAAATAAAATAAGAAAAATATGCAGTAAAGGTTATGATAAGCAAATAATCATATGAAGAATGATCATGTCAATTTTAACTTATTTGGTCATGACGATGAAGGCATGTTATGCAGACATTTAAATCTCAATTTTCAGTTTCATGGTATTACTACTATTTTAAGGACTTTTTTATTTAATAATTCGTTTAAAAAGACAATATGTATTGTGTGAGTATGCTCACATTTATAATAATTTGCTCCGAAAAGACACAAATACAGGGACAGGAAGTACCTGCAGAATGATCAAAGAGCATTATAACTGATTTCTATTTGTTTTGACATCAAATCTATATTTCGTATCCATTTATAATGATTTATAGCTTCATTTGTTATTCCAAGCTCTGAATCAACCCAACCCAAAGTCTAATATTTTCTTCTTCTGCATTGACGCTACAGCTGAAATCCTTACAATATTTAACCAGTCCTCATTATAGCTCCATTTGTACAGTATTTCAAACTCTGTATCAACCAAATCAACCTCTAATATTGTCTTCTTCTGCATAGGCGCTACAGCTGAAATCCTTACAATATATAACTCGTAATAACTTGATTTGTACAGTATTCCAATCTCAGCATCAAGCCAACCAACCTCTAATATTTTCTTGTTCTACATTGGCGCTACAGCTGAAATCATTACAATATATAACCATAACAATATTCTCATTATAGCTTAATTTGTACTGTATTCGAAGCTCTGTATCAACCTAATATTT